CCCCAGTGGACCTCAGCCTCTGTGCCTTAGAGAATTCTCTTTCCAATGCTAGGTGCCTCCTCGAGGCCTCTCGCTCGGCTGTTTTAGACACTTCCTTTGTAATTAAATTTATTTTTATTATTTATTTATTAATTATATTTCTACCCCGCCCTTCTCCCTGCGGACTCAGGGCGGCTTACAACCATTCAAAAACAAATACACAAATACAAAAATGCCAAACTCAACATGCCAATTAAAATGAAACATTACTCTAAAACCGAAAATTCATTTTAAATTATTTTAAAACCAAATTAAAATAACCCTTAGGCCAGTCCTGCTAACTTGNCCAGGCGGGAGGTGACAAGAGCGTGGGTGACTGTGCGCAAGGCGTCCCGGTCCAGAAAAGGCCGCAACTGGTAAACCAGGCGTACCCGGTAGAACGCCCCCCTGGCCACGGCCGTCAGCTGGTCTTCTAGTGTCAGCCGTGGATCCAGGAGGACACCCAGATTGCGCACCCTCTCCGAGGGGGCCAAAATTTCGCCCCCCATAGTCAGCGACGGAGTCAGCTGACTATGCCGGGGCGCCGGCAACCACAGCCACTCAGTCTTGGAAGGGTTGAGCCTGAGTCTGTTTCTCCCCATCCAGACCCGTACGGCCTCCAGGCACCGGGCCATCACGTCAAGGGCATCATTGGGGTGGCCTGGGGTGGAGATGTACAGCTGAGTATCAAACATAAATGTTTGGTTTTAGCTTTTTTCTTTTTTCCCTCCACTGCTACTTCCTCTGATCTGCGTTTTGTTTGCGCAGGGGGGACACTGGTGTGAGTTGCCTGGGGCGAGGAACTGTCTGCCATTGTAGTCTGGGTACTCCTAGGCAGTCGTACCCAGAGGTGGGGGAAAATTAACACGCAGATTACGCAGCCAGACATGGAAAACCGATCCTCGCTCTGAACAGCTAACAATGGCAAGAGCAGCCAGACAGCGTTCTAATACTGCCTGTACAGGCCCTGTGACTAAAGGTCACTGACTAATAGGAACAGGTGGTCAAACAGGAAACTCTTCACTCCTCTCCTTAGATATAAACTCAGAATGAATACCTTGAGCTGTGCAATGCAGTCAAGTCCCAATCACGAATTACACGTAAAGTTCACAGCACCTGCGGTGACTATGAGACAAGTACTTTCCCCCCTAAACAGGCCTGTTCACAGACCAAGGCACTCTGGCAATACACGGATACAGTAGAGAAAATCAAGTAGGCCTTCAAAATGGCGTCCGCCACGTGGCCCTTGTATACAACTCTTTACTTGAACAAGTATAATCTATTTTTTATTTTATTTTATTTAAAAAAAAATTTTTTTATCACGAGGCCTGCTAAATGACTTCCGTCACGTGAACCAATATACTATCCCCGCAGAACAGGCAAAGCAGAATAAATAAGACTCGGCCTACAAAATGGCGTCAGCCACGTGGTCCGGTGAAAAGGCGCCCTCGCTGAGACCATGCGGTTCAAAATGGCAGCCGTGAGAATTCGGCCTCGCCAAATCAGGAGCGAGGGAAACTTGAAGACCCTGGAAAGTAGCCTAGGGGCAGGCAAGGATTCCTTCCTTACTTTCCCCCCCCCTGGTCCCAGGAACTTGCGTTTTTGAAGCGCAGCAGCTGCTGCGATCCGAAGTGAGGCTGGAAGCGAGAAACGATTCAAAGAACCCCCTGCGGTGAAGGCAGAGCCGCTTCAGCGATCCGAAGGCCGGGAGCTTCACCCGCGACCTCCACACAATGGAATAAGCTCCAAAGTCCCCTGCAGCTTGATCTCAGCTGCCTAGCTGAGCCTCGGAATCGCGGAGGCTTGCCGTTCGACTCGCCCTCGAACGGAGCCAGCAGCCTCCCGCCTTCAAGCCCCGAGAGGCAGCAGGGAAAAAGAGACAGAGTCCCTGTCTCACAGAATAGGAAAATTCTTTAGAAGTAGCCAATTAGTTTGTCAAATTCCTAGAATTTCAATTTTAAATAAATCCAATTGAAGCAAAAAATAAATTTAATCTGGCCTAGCCAGGGAGCCTTGCAAAAAAAGGTCTGCTGAGCTCGAGACTAAGACAAAAACTGGGAAGACACACCCAGAGAGAGGCGTGGCAAAGTTTTTTTGTCTTAGACTGCTGAGCAGGAAGACTGAATTAACCCATTCTGTGGACTCTACACCATCCCTGCTGGAGAAAGGGCCCTTTGCATAATTGCCCAAACGTTCCCCCAAATAAATTGGTGAGAGGTGTGATCGCGCGGAGGCCCAATATGGCGGCCGCGATGATCCGAATTAATTGGAGTTAAATGTTCTTCAGTCCCAACAGGGGGAAATAGGAGCCCCTATGCCCCCGCACAAGGCTGTCGTTCGAAGAGAGATTGATTAGAAGAAGAAGCCCCTTGCAATATTTCCTAAACGTCTCCCCAAGCAATTTGGTGGAGGGTGCGATCGCGCGGAGGCCCAAAATGGCGGCCACGACGATCCGAGTCAGGGAGAATTGAATATTCTCTCCTCTCTTTAGGTGAGAAACAGCCGTTAGAGGTGATCCGATCAATTTGGAAGGAAGGCAGGCAGATCGGAAAGGTAAGAAAAGTCCTTTAGTAAAGAACGAAGATTGACAATGCTACGTCAAAAGGGGGGGGGGGAGGGTTAGCGATCGCCTCACGATCGTGACGATCAGCTAAATGTCAGCAAGGGCTTGCCTGGGAAGGAAGGGAGAATCAGTACAGCGCTGTGCAGAGCTGAATTAGTTTCCCCCCCCCCACAAGGAAGGTGAAGAATCCACGGATGGAAGTCTACTACCTGAACACTAATTCGGGAGCCAAAATTCCACGTCTCTTCAGGGCTGAGACCAAAAGAAACTGGGGCATGGTCAGACCCTGAAGGGGCGTGGCAACTTTGTTGGTCTAATTGGGCTAGAGGACTTCTAAAAGCCATCCGTGGATTCTACATTCCTACACTTGCTGGAGAACCACGCAGCCGGCCGCCGAAGCATGCAGCCGGCCGCCAAAAACGCCATGCAGGAGGAACAGCCGGCGGCAGCCTACCGGGCGGCATGCGGGACTCTAGCACACCCCAGGACGGCCTGCCAGCGCCTGGTTACAGCAGCTGGCCGGCGCTCCATTGTGGCCGGCTCCGGCGGGGATTCCCTCGCATCACAGAACGCGGTGCGGCAACGTCACCGATGGGCGGGGCATCCCGAGGAGGCCGCTGGCTCCTGGTTGAAGCAGCTGGCTGGCGCTCCGTTGTAGCCAGCTCCGGCGGTGGCGGCAGGGATCCCCCACAGCTTGCGGCTTCTGCTGCGGTGCCCGGATCAGTTTCCCAGCGTGCGGGCATTGGAATGTTCGATCGGTATCGGGAACGGAGCTCAGCGAGCCCGGAGCAAGGGAGCAGCCCCCCCCGCCCACAGCTGTCTCCCGAGTCACCATCAGATGCCTATCACGGGCGGGCGGCCTGAGCCAACGAGGCGCCGGCGATCGCCTCAAGCTGCTACCGCGGCCCGATGAGACCGCGCTGCGCCCGACAGGCAGCGCGTAGTGGCCAATGAGTGCCGGGCAGGGGGTGGCGCTTGAGGGGTGGCTACTGAGTGTGCGGCACCATTGTGGCCAGTTCAATCAGTATCGGGAGTGAAGAGCTGCGCTCAGCGAGCCTGGAGCAGCCCCCCCCCGCCCATGGCCGGCCAAGTCACCGTTCTGATCAGCATCAGCAAAACAAACATGGGCCTCGATTCCCACCTGCTGCCACGGGATGAGTCCTCCGGGAGGGCACACGCCGTCTGGCCGCTTTGCTTTCCCCTCCGTAAAGCCGGGCACCTCGGGAAGAGGAGAGGGGGAAAAGACTCGAGCCCCAGGAGGCAACGTGAGGGCCGTGAGGAGTATCGCAAGCTCGTGGGAGGGGGAGAGAGGAAAAGAAAATGGAAGAGAGTGAGGCCGCAACACAGAGAGAGAGAGAGAGAGAGAGAGAAAAGGGGGAAAATGAGGGGGCGGTTGTGAGGTTGGCGCTCAGGGCCGCGACACAAGCGGTCTCAGCTACCTGCGAGTGGATGGCTCTGTACCCTTCAGGCTCGCGCTTGCTTCTGAAGTAAGAAGAGGGGGGGAAGGGCGACACGGATCCTGCACGAGTCCCTGGGGAGGGGAGGGCCTTGCTCTGCACCTGCGCTCTTCACACGCCCTCAGTAGGGTTCCTGCAGGCCGTCGCCAAGCAGCATGTTTTCAATTTCAACAAGCAAGTGAGCTGGGAAGGAGGGGGGTGAGGAAGGCGACGCCGCGGGGGGGGGGAGGAAGGCGACGCCGCGTACCACCAGCCAGGTGGTCGCGTACCACTAGTGGTATTCGTACCACCGGTTGAAAAGCCCTGGTCTAGAGGGATACTATAGGGTCATGCCTCTACTATAAAGCATAAATAAATATGATCAGTGCTATTTCCCAGGCCTAAAACCTGACAGAAAAGAGTCCAGATAATCTATTTCTGAGTCCTTTGTAGATGTCAAACAACCACCTTATCAACAACTTCCCTAAGAGGGGAAAGTTGTAGACTGAGTGATAGCTGTCCAGTGCAGTTGGGTTAAATGTTAGCCCCTTAAGGAAAGGATGTACAAATGCCCCTTTCAAAGATATCCCACAACTATGTACCATGGCTTGACCCATCTCCCCATCGGCAGCATGCACAAGCCAAATGAGGAAAGGTCAAACTCATCTCACCAAAAACTACCCAATTCCACAGGATCAACATGTGCAAACTCTTTCTCAGGAAACCTTGCAACACATCAGCCTCACACTTCTCTGGACTCCATCCAACTGGCTTCTGACTCCAAGTGAACAAGAGTGATTATTATCCATAAAGAGCTTTGCTAGCATTGTCATGGGTGGGGAGGGTTAATAGTCACTCCTTCTGTAAAAGAATCTGGGTCACTTTAAAAAGGGCCCTGGACAGCAGTCTGTAGATGCAACAAGAACGGAGAAATAGCCTGTACACACACACACACACACACACACACAAACATGAATACTCACTTTTCGAGTTTGCATCTTTTCTGTTCGCCTTCTAAATGCAACGTAAGGATCATTTGTGCTGGAACCATCATGCTTCTCCTGTTTCACTGCTGAGATAAGAGAGGGACCTCTACAGATTTTTCTCTTTTTAATCCAGTACTCGTATATTTCTCTAATCAGTTCATCATCTTCCTTCAAGAGTAGCTTGGCTTCCTGCAGGCTGACTGGCTAAAGGAAGAATCCAAGTATGTCAGTTTTATATATTTATACACTTAAAACAATTTCAAATTTGAAACAATACTATACCTGCTGACCACTTCCTTTTTCAAGCTGATCTATCATTTCTTCAAACTGCAAAGGAGAAATATCTATTTTTTTCTTCAGCTTATTCACAAAGGCCTCATCTTCTGAATCCAAATCATAATCTGGTTGCTCAGCATCCAAACTAAAAGCTGAACAGAAAAAAATATTTTTATGTATTTTAAATATTCTAGGCAAAATGGAATAAAGTAATTTAGATGTAAATCTGGAATTGTTCAGTTAAACAACTGATTTTATATGAGCTAAAGCCAGCAGAGTTTAATACATCTTTCAATTAGAAAAGTTTAAAAATATGTACATATCTGCCAACTTGAAATCTACTGATTATAAAATTATATTCCTTAACCAGTCCTGAGAATATGGATTTATGTTAACTAATCTTAACCAGGTAGGATAAAATGCAGATAAATGGCTGAAATATTATCAAATGAATAATATTTCAAGTGTATAGTAAAATAGCCTTCATCAGATAAATCAATTCTTCATTAAGGGCTATTTAACTGTATTGTTTTTAGGGTGAATAAGACAGACTTGATAGATCCATCCCATTACCCCCTGCCTTGTTCAGCGGCCGTTCAAGGTTACAATGGTGCTGAAAAAAATAAATAACTTTATAACCAATGTCCACATTTACATGCTGACAGCTGTGAGTGTACCATGCAAACAGCCCAGTGTATTCCACACTGTGTGCCTGCTTACTCTCTTGTAATCCTTTCCTCTCCAAACTCTCCATTTTGCAAGGGAGTGAATGGGTCAGGCACAGGAGAGACGATCTACAGAAACTACTTGTCTCCCCTCAGAGAGATTGCACAGAGGGGGGGCTCCTTAGAGCAGGGCTTTTCAACCTTTTCACCCATTGTACCACTTTTCGGATAAGGCAATATCCGAGTACCACCACTCGCAAACAAGGTATCAAAAACTTGACCCCCCCCCCCAAAAAAAGAAAAAAAATGAGAAAGTACAGGTAGTCCTTGACTTACAACAATTCACTTAGTGACTGTTTGAAGTTACAAGCAAATTATGACCATTTTTCACACTTATGACTGTTGCAGCATCCCCAGGGTCTTGTGATTTACATTTGGATGCTTGGCAACTGATTCATACTTATGACGTTCAGTGTCCCAGGGTCATGTGATCAATGGCGGGGGGGCATGGCCAGCTGATCACTCAGGTTGTAGGGTGCCTGTGGGGGGGAATCCGTGGGTCTCTGGTGGAGGGGGATGCGACTGTGGCAGGTGCCTGCCTGCCTTCCCTCCCTCTTTCCCATTTCCCTTCCTTCCTTCTTTCCTTCACC